AGTCCCGCATCGGGCTCCCTGCTCAGCGGGAAGTCTGCTTCTCTCTCTGCCTCTGCCTCTCTGTCTCTCATGAATAAATAAATAAAGTCTTTAAAAAAATAAATAAATAAAAGCTAAATGGTAAGACTTGCACAATGAAAGGCCATTTAGAAGATTTACAGGACCCCATAGATCAGTGATTTTATTGACTCAAGCCCTAAGTATGCTTACATAGTTCTGCAACCCGTAGTTTTAGGATTTTTATTGAAGCCCCTGAAGTATTAAGGAGGAAAAAATGCATTGGCCACCATTCTTCTGTCCTAATGGATTGAATTACCAATGGTTCATATTCTGGTGCCTTCACAAGAGTACCAAATTCTGTCAAATATGGTCACTTATTTTGAAGATGGGCAAATTCTGAAAAGTGAACAGCAGGCTAGAACTCCTTATATCAGTGAATCACTTCTATGTTCATTAACTCCTTGCTTTGCTTTTTAAAATGTGTTATTTGGAGCACTGATGGAATGAAAATACAAATGTCCACACTTGTGTATACATCCAGATACAGCTGTGCCCACGCCGGTTAAGTGGAATTCCTCTAAAAAGTTCATAGTTTGGAAGTTCCATAAGGAAGCATATCATCCAGTAACAAAATGATAGCACAATCCTGAAACTTTTTTTTTTTTTTTTTTGGTGCACTTTAAAGGATCTTTTTTGGTGCTACAGTTTGAAACAGATAAACCATCCCTCCCCAACCTGGTGGGGCAGGGGAGAGAGAGATAAAACGACCGATTCTATAGTTTTATGAAGAAGTAAAATTCCCAAACATGCCTGAAAAAATGAGAGGAAGTGCTTGTCAAAATTAGAATCCCAGTCCCCACCCCCCTTCACCCCCACCTCCCACCCCAGGTTTGGGGTGGGACCCAGTAATCTGTATTTTTAATGAGACCCAGGTGAATCTTATCAGCAGACACCTCTGGGGAATAATAAAGTAAAGTATTAGATAAGCCCAGTAGCTCCCAAGCCCTTGTTTTGGGGACAGGAATTAAAGAAACATCCTTTTATCTTTAGCCTAGGAAAATCTCTAATGTAGACATCAAAGAGTTAGTGCTGCCATTTCTCCCTGCCATCCGAAATCTGCCTTGCCAGAAAAAAATCTCAGGGCAAATTACTGCCTTTAGGTTAGAAAGGTTTTCCCCTGTTACCCAAATATACTTTCAACCTTGGTTTTAGGATTAAATATATTTTGACAACTCCTTTCCCTGCTCTAAAAACTTGAAAATTCTTGACTTCAAAAGTAGACTGAACTTACGAGGCGATATTGGAGCGTGGGTCTCTCTCTCCAGCACATTCACCTTCAACTGTATTGTGCATTTATGTCCATCTGTACATACGTGCATTTCAGTAGGATTATTCAGACTGAAGACACACGGGTAGAATTTGAATTCTTGGGAATACCAGATAACTAAAATGCAGACTGAAATACCAGCTCTCTGACAGAGACCCTCGTGGCTGACTTGTTTATTAGTGAAAACTCCAAAACTAGTGGGTTACTTTCAGTTGACTGGACACCTTCTTAAGGTCAGGTGAGAGACACCGAAACTGCATGTTTTGGTAACCTCTGTTCATAAAAGGCAAGAGAACAGTGAATTTGTAACAGTTTGAAGTAAGACAGGGAGTACAGCAGAAGCAGCTCAATATGGTACCATTGGATTGGTAAAAAGTTTTGTATTTTTTTTAAGGCGGGGGACATGCATATTAAAGTAATAACCCAAGTTTAACAATCAGACTAGACTTTCTTAATTTACTCCAGCCCAGGTTTGTTTTCCTTTATGTCAGTGGAAGAATTGTTCCTCACCACACGGTACATCTGGTTCCCATTAAGTTTGTCTTTATCCAGACGTTTTTCATTTCTACCACTAAATCTTGAGTTTTGAGATTGCAGAGGCAGGTTGAAATTGGTCAAGCAAGTCTATTATTACCTGTGTGTTTATGGCAGTGTTTAAGGCTTATTTTTGGAAATCCTTAGCCCTGTTCACACGTTCTTCTGTTCCGTTTTCAAAGACAGAAGCGGAATCACAGTTGACCTTATCAACATGGCATCAGCGATGGGTGATGTTGCACAAATTTAAATGCTACCGTGTCCTTTTGCTTTTCACATAGTGAAGTGAAGCTGACAGTGGCCTCCTTCCTGTCCGATCGGATTGTGGATGAAATCCTGGATGCACTCTCACACTGCCATCATAGACTGGTGAGTGCTGTGCACGTCCGGAGTGGGACTCCCGTGCGGTCCGCCGTGATGCTGGGCAGGCTCCAGGTTGGGGATGCCGCTTCTTTCCTGCATCTTACTCCTTTGCAGCTTTATGGCTACTTTTCCTCTCCTACATTGCTTCCAGACAATTCTAGAATATGTTAGAATCTCTCCAGAGGGAATGGAAGGGGAACAGGGACGTGATGGTATTGAGAAATTTTGTTGTGCATTTATAACGCAGACCAAAAGTTTTGTTAATAATGCTGAAACCGAGATCTAAAATTAAGGTATTTTAGATTTTTTAATTTTTGTGTGCTTATTTTGTTGCTCTTCAACATGATCATGTGGGAATGGACTATTCCTGAAAACACGGGGTGAGGGGAGGGGAATATTTGGAGTCCAAAGAAAAGGCCAGAGTAAAATGGACACATTCTAGGGATCGGTAGCTGCCACGTGCCCAGCCAGGCCTCTTGGATATAACCAAGGTAAAGACATAAATTGTCTTCGTCTAGAGACTGGTTTTATTGAGGTAGAAGACTTTACTTCCAATCTCACTGCATATAAAAAATAGATGAGAAACTTCATGTGTTTTCAACTTCAGGAAGTCCTCTGAGGCACAGATGAAGGTTTCGTTACTCCTTACATCTCGTGTCGCGAACATTTTAGCAATATGGTGTGGTACGAATCTCTTGAGCAAGTTATGACATTTTCCCCAGAGAAGCATTTCAAATTAAGTGCAGGCTGGAGAGAGTGCATCCAGGCTTTATGGCATGGAATTGTCGGTGATGCCAGGGAGCACCTCAGTGGGAAGAACAGTAACCATGGCTTCTCCACGAGGCAGACAACGTGAATATTTCAGAAAAATGGGTAGGCTGTCCTCTAAAATTGAAAAGATAGGACAGGAGTCTCTCGCAGCGTCACTGAAAATACTGCCCATGGGCTGGAGCTGGCCCACTCACCACCGGGGACCTGTGCCTGACAAGGTTAGGTCACCAACCAAGAGGAAACGTGGAGAAATTTCTAGAGCAACTGGAGATGGCCACAATACGCAAACACATGTTATTTCTCTAAAGTTTCATTTTTATTGTACTTTACCAATATACTGGTGTGTGGCAAACTGGAAATATAGAAAACTGGTTCATCACCCCAGAGACTTTAAGAAGCACTAGCTTCTGGTTTGTGGCACAGAAAAGGCCTATGTTAGGGGCACCTGGGTGGCTCAGTCGTTGGGCATCTGCCTTCGGCTCGGGTCATGATCTCAGGGTCCTGGGATCGAGCCCTGCATCAGGCTCCGGGCCC